ACTTGGTGAGAGTGTAAGGAAGGGGTTTCGGGAACTGTGGACCCCAACCCTGGCTAGGCTCCCCGACTGGAGCCAGAGCAGGGCTGCTGCTCTGTTCACAGCCCAGCCTCTGGGCGCTGACCTCTGTTAGCTGAGGCCTGCCGCGCAATGTTCCTGTGCCGCAGAGTCCGTGAAGTCAGAGAGAAGCGGCCGCAGGGTCCTAGGCTGGAAGCTGTGCTGCCCCGCCCCCGGGCCTGGCGAGCCTCCCCGCCAGCCTCCACCAAGTCAGCTCGCCCTCACGGCGTTCCTAACACACCAGCGCGACTGGAAGCGGTGTTTTGAGGATGCCTATGGCAAAGTCCAGCCTTGGGCACGAGTTATGTAGGTTTTAAAACCTGGAAATAAAACGGTGGCAGAAAGTGGGCTGGGCACAGTGGGGATGTGTGTAGGCAGCCGGCCTGCACCCTGCTGCGATGGGCAGCCTCCACTCGTGCTGGCTGGGCCCACCAGGTGCTCCAAGCAGGAGGTGGTCGTGCTGGGAGGCCAGGATGCACGCTTCCATCTTCTAAAATGTGAAGCCAACTTGACGCGCTAGAAGGTGCGCGCCAGACATGTCAGGTGGCAGCGACGGCTTCTTGCTTTCTGCCCCGAGAACGGCCGTGTCTGGGCCGCCCCATGGCTCCATGACAGGGATGAGGCTTGTGGGCCGTCTGGGCTGCAGGCCTGAGCACAGCCCGGCAAGCAGACTACTGGTTCTCTGCTCCTGGTCGGCGCTGGCCACGTGGCCACGTCTCACCGTGTGGCTGGTGTTGGACCTTCCCGTGTCAGTGGGCGGTCGGGGGGAGGAAGTTCTGGAGGAGTGCTGGGAGGTGCAGGGAGGGCTGACGGCGCTGAAGGCTCAACCATGCACGGCCAGGTCCAGTGCTCTCCTGAGCTGCTGCTACAGCGTCTTTCGTGACAGTAACAAACGGGGATATCATGGTTTCTGTGCAAGTAAAGTTAACCTGGAAGTTCTTCCCCTGATGTTGGAAGGCCTCCTGGGCTCCTCCAGCCTCCGTCGGGTCAGCGGTAGTGCCGCAGGTAGACGAGCTTCTGCGGAAGGAACCTCTCCCTGCAGAGGGGACACTCCGTCTGCGGGGGAGGAGGAGGGTCACAGGCTGGACCAGGACAGCCCCCGGCCCCCCGCTGGCATTCCCAGTACCATGTGGGATGTACCCACGTCTCGTCTCTATAGGTGAAGGGAAAAAGTGTTTTCTGAGGCCTTAACCCTGGGCGGTCAGGCGCAGAGCAGGGACAGTGCCCGGCTGAGACGACAGCCAGTCTACAAGGTGACTCGGGAAGGGTGAGGACACTTGGCCGCAGGATGACTGTGGCTGCCCCAAGCTTCCTGGGAGTGCATGCCTGTGTCTGCGGTCCCGTCTCAGGACGCCAGCGGTTCTGCCCCTCAGGACTGGGTCCCTCTCGCCCCTGGAAGTCAGCCCGTTGCCTGCCAGGCACTCCACGTGGGGCCAGCACTTCAGGGAGGCAGCGCTTGTGCCCCTAGGAGACTCCCACAGAGCGACTGGGACCCCGAGCCCCAGAGGCTGAGGAAAGCTCCCAGGCAGCACGTGGACGGAGCAGGGTATCGTACACTAGGCGGGCGCAGCCTTGGCCCTCACGAAGGGGCTGGGCGGAGGTGTGTGGGGGGGGGGCAGGAAAAGGCCTCCTCCCTAGAGTCAGCACACAAGTAAGAAAGAGGGGCACGGGGTCCTCCATTCTGGCCCCCTGGCTCGGTGGACCCCACACCTGAGCTCTCAAGGCCGAGCAGCTGGCTCTCACTCTGAGGGCAGGGGTGGCCGGAGCCTTTCAGGAGCGGGGCCACCCCAGACTCCAGGTGTGGCCCCACGAGCAGTTCAGCAGGGCCTTTAGAGACGCGCCGCCCCTCCAGCCCACACAGGAGCTTTGAGGGGCAGGCTCCCGAGTCCTCAGCGCCCTGGGTGGTCTGCACGCCTGGGCTCTGGGCCACCCACCTTGGTGTCGCACCACTGCATGATGCATTCCCAGCAGAACAGGTGGCCACAGGGGGTGGCTGTTGAGTGCCTGCGCTCCTCCAAGCACAGGGTGCACAGGGAGTTTCTGGAAACCACTCTCTCTTCTACGTGGCTCCTGGTGGGAGAAGGGGTAACAGGACAGAACTGAGCCTCCGAGTCCTTCCCTGAGCCCGAGGGCCACAAGGCTGAGCCCCCCCTTGGCGCCGGCCCCACGCACCTGCGCTGAGACAGGCTGCGGTGTGGCTTCCACTCCCGCCGGGCGCGCTGCCTCTGCCGGAAGCCGTAGAGCTGCAGGCCCACGGACAGCGCCAGGTGTAGCAGGGATACGAGCCCCAGCAGCCTGTAGCTGGCGCGAGCCCTCGAGTCCTCTGCAGGCAGGCGGCGGACACGGAGCTGTCAGGGCCCCGGACAGATGGTCACATGATCAGGTGGCACAAGGCAGCAAGCAGCCAGGGAGCCAGGCCTCCCCTGGTGAGTGAAACCAAAGCCTGTCCTTCAGTGCCAGGGGACAGTGAGCCCTGGGCCTCTGGCTGAGTTGGGGGCAGGAACGCCTTGCAGGCTCTAAGCACTGAATGGTGGCCAGGGCCCTGTTCCCGGTGGGAGCCAAGCATTGAGCGAGGAAGACAGCCACAAAGCTTGGAGTCTGCAGGTGAGGACTTCTGGGAGTTGAGGGGCCGGCCAGGGGCCTGGGCCTCAGAGAGGCTGGCAGAGAAGGCTGCAGAGGAGAGCAGACCCTGCCCCCAGGCCCGCAACTCCTGGCCACACCCATGAAGGGGAAGCAGCTTGCTTTCTACTTCCGTTTCCATTCTCTCAGCTGGGAATGGAGACAGTTGAGTCAGCCAGACGGGCCAGAGCTGGAGCCCAGAGGCAGGGCCCTGGGTGCCCGTGTAGGAAGAGCCCTGGGGTAGCCCCCCGATGCCCTGAGTGGGTGGAGCCCCCATGTCTCCAGGCTCCTTCGCGGCAGCAGCAGCTCAGCAAACACTAAACACTGCGCGAGGGCGGTGAGGCTGGGCTGGGCTGAGCAGAGGGAGGTGCAGGTGCCTGGGCGGCGCTACCAAGAGAGGCCTGGAGGGCGTGGGGGCGGAGAGCCTGGAGACCCTCGGGGAGGCAGGGGGCCTGAGGCAAACCCTTCTGGGTGAATCTGGAAGCAAGGGCATCACTGAGACCCAGGAGGGGAGGCGGCGTGCCAGCCGTCCATCGAGGTGGCGGGGGGAGACGGTGGTGGGAGGAGACTAGCAGAGTGCTGCAGGAAAAGGGCCCCACGTGGTCACCGCAGGGTCACCACCAGGGTGACATCCCTACACCTGGCCTCCCGCCCTCCATGCGGACAAGCCAGAGCTGAGCAGGTCCAGGTGACCCCTGCGACTTACGTAGGTGATGCCTGTGAATCTCTTGGCCACGTGGTAGAAGGCACCATGGATGTAGAACCAGGCGACGTGGAGCCGCTGGAGGCACCCGAGGCCCTGCCTGAGTAGGGACACAGCCCGCAGGAGCACCCGCTGCTGCTGCTCCGTCAGGGTGGTGACGTGCTGGTGCAGCCAGCGCCGTGCCCCCCACGGGCTGCGCACACTGGGTGCCAAGCTGCCCTGCAAGGGCCGCGTGCCATCACTGTCGGCCTGCAGCTCATGCTCCAGGTGGAGCAGGGCCTTGTCCAGCAGGTACGGCAGGACGGTGTGCAGCGCAACCAGGACCCCGCGGCGCAGCCTGGAGGGCACCCGGCTCTGGGACAGGTCCACCTGGATGATGCCCACGTACTCCTCCCCGAGGGTCTGATAGCCTGTGGGGAGGGGGGGCCCACGTGAGAGACAGGCAGGGACGTGCCAGCAATTTCCTCCTCTCTGCTGGATCCCTACCTTTCCTCTAAAGGATGACACTCCACCAGGGCCCCGCCGCCCGTGCCCTGTGACACGGCTCGGTGCTGAGACCCCTCTCGGGCTATGGGTTCAGCCACAGATAAATGGTCCCAATGGCACCCTGGGCAAAGTATCCAGGGACACAAAAAGAATGAGGGGGACACAGACAAGACAGGAACTCAGAGCTTTCAGAGGCCCGGCCAGGGCTCAGGGCCTGGGGAAGGGGCTCAGGGGCCCCTCCTTCCCTGAGGCTGCATCCAGGCCAGTCTAGGGACACTGGGAAGCACTGCAGAAGACCCTCACTCTGCTGGCAGCCCCTTCCCCTGTCCTCTGGGCCCCTCAGTCCCAGGGTCCCACCAGGGGCTGCAACCTGCAAGTGTGGTGAGACCAAAGTAGGCGACATCTGACAGCAGCTCAATCTCCTTCCTCCACTCCAGCCACTTCTTTGCACCTGAGCAGAGAAACAGCATTATTCCTGACAGGCTGGGGGTGAGGCTCGTGCAGTGGTAAGAATTAGGAACGACCCTCCCTCGTGCTCCCAAGGCCCAGCCCAGACATCCCTGCACGAGGCGGAGACTCCTCTTCTCTCTACCCTGGCCTCCCATGCTGTCCACTCTGCTCCATCTCCATCTGCCTCGCCCGGCCACTGAGTGTCCTGAGACCTGCCCACCTGCAGCCACCCCCGCTCCAGGACCCATCCGGGTAACCGTTCTAGAGCCCAGAAAGGCCACAGAGACAGTGTAGTCCAGTGACCAGAAGCACGAGACCACCCATCAGCATAAATCCCAGCCCCACACTGCTGGTTGTGACCTCAAGCAAGTTACAAGGTGTCTCTGGAGTCCCCGTTTCCCTGTGTGTAGGAGGAGAACTACAAGTCCTACTCGCAGGGATGTTCTGAGAAAATGCGTTAACGGCCCAAAGCACGGAGAACAGCGTCTGGCACAGAGTGTAAGTCAGAGTGTCGGCAGAACAATACACAGGCCATTTACTCTGGTCGTTGTCCCTCTCCTGCTCAGAGCCTGCTGACGGCCACTATGCCCCGAATTTCTGCTCGCTCCGAACAGGAGCCCGGCTGTGGTCCGGAATCTGCCCCACGCTCCTGCCCCTCCGCTGGGCTCCACCGCCGCAGCTCCAATGAAGTTCCCTCGTGTCCTCAGCGCCGTGGACTCTTTCACACCTGGTGCATGGCC